TGCAAGGCTAAATATTTGAGGTCCAAAGGAACATTTTTGGGGAGGAGGCTGGGAAGATGAGAAAGAATTCCTATCTGGGAGGGGAATCCCTCATTTTGCACCCTGAACTAACAGATGCTGGAGTGTTTCCAAAATATTCTCCAGCTCCTCATGCTAAATTATGCCTGTTTTCCATGGAATAAAATGAATTCAAGACCGGTGCCTCTCCAGTGGCCTTTTTTCAGCTAAAGCTCCAGAGCCCAGATTGCTCCCATCTGTGGAACTTACCTGGGAGTAAAAATCATTTTATTATTATTATTTTATGTACTGATATCTTGCCTTTCTCCCAAGATAGGGACTAAAATCATACCTGTTTTTTTGGTGGGATTTTTCGGGCTATGTGGCCACCTTTTAGAAGAGTTTATTCCTGACGTTTTGCCAGCATCTGTGACTGGCATCTTCAGAGTACTAGAAATCATACCCTCCTACTGCCCTGATTTGGCAGAGACAATCCCGATTAATCCTCTGTCATCCCACTTTTCTACCTGCTTTCAAAATGTCCCGGTTTCCCTCTCTTCCTCCCACTTTCCCCTTCTGTCCTTAGCTGACTTCAGTTGCTGAAAACTGAGTTCAAAGTACAAAATAGTTTACCATCAGTTACCATAAGCAGGAGGGAAGTAGAAAGGAAGGAGGGAGGGATAATCTTGTCCTTCCCAGTATGTTCAGGCAAAAACAAACTGGAGCATCCTCTAATAGCTCATGTAGTCTTTCTCATCCATAGCTTTTGACAGCTTGATCACATTCTGATTTTGCTTGGCCACACATCTCCCAGTTTGCACCTATGAAATAGCAGAGGGCATGCAAGCAAAAAACTTAGCTGGGAGTTACTTACAACTAATGCAAGGCATAGCTAGGAGGGGAAAAATCAGGACATTGTCTTCCAAAATACGAATTCTTCCTCCCCCCCCCCCATGATTTTTCCTTCAGGCCCAAAATGTCTAACATTGCAATAACAGAAGACATCAGTTGAACATTTGGAAAGAAGAGTTCCCAAATAAAGGGGCAAGCACTAAAGGAATGTGAATGCAGCAAATATAAAAAATTCCAGGTCTGAACCATTTTTCATTGTCTCACTCTCTGCAAGGCTAGAAATTTAAGGGCTGAAGCAGGGAGCAGGAAGGCAGAATTGTTTTCTGGGAGACAAATTTTCATTTTGCACCCCTCTGCAGCTACATGGACTAACATATACTGTTTTATTTCCTAAATATGTTACCGACACTCATTTATGCATAACTATACCTGCTTTCCATGCAATGAAACAAATTCAAAACTGGTGCCTTTTTTTCAAGTAAACCTCCAGAATCCAGATTGTGGAATTTACTTGAGATTAAAAAAATCATGACACTCCCTCAACTATCCCAATTTGGCACACATAATCCCGATTAATCCTCTGCCATCCCACTTTCTCAGCTGGTTTTAAAATGTCCTGGTTTCTCTTTCCTTCTCCCACTTTCCCCCTTTGTTCTCAGCCTACTTCAAATGCTGCAAAGTGAGTTCAAAGTGCAGAAGCAGTTTGCATTCCATTAAGTCCATGGTGGAAGAGGAGTAGAAAGAGTAGACTCTTGCCCTTCCCAGAAGGCTCAGGTAAAAGCAAACTGCTGCTCCTTCTCCTGTGTTCTTCCTCATAAGCACATTTTGCCATCTTGACCACATTGTGATATTGCCTGATCGCAGGTGTCCAGGTTTTCACCTATGAAATGCATACCCTCCAACTGTCCCAATATGGCAGGGACAATTCGAATTAATCTTCTACCATCCCACTTTTTGAGCTCCTTTTAAAATATCCCAGTTTCTCTCTTTCCCCCCTTTCTACTTCCATTGCTGCAAGCTGAATTCGAAATGCAAAATTGGTTTGCATGCTATTAACTTTGTACCAGGGTGGAGAAAAGAAGGAGGCAGAATCATACCCCTTGCTGCACCTTCACCTAGCTTGTCTGCTCTTCCTCATTCATAACGTTTGCCATCTTGGCTACATACATCTGTTATGTTGGAAGGTCTGTAAAATGGGCTTAGAACTGGAACTCTAGACTTTGAAAGGAATTTTTATTTTTTATTCTTATTTTTAAATAGCCCTTCATGAGAGCCAGCAAGGCATAGTGGTTTGAGCGTTGGACTATGACTCTGGAGACCAGGGTTTGGTTCTCATCTCAGCCATGAAGCCCACTGGGTGACCTTGGGCAAGTCACACTCTCTCAGCCTCAGGGGACGCCAATGGAAAACCTCCTCTAAACAAATCTTGCCAAGAAAACCCAATGATCCCTAAGTTGGAAATGCCTTGAAGGCACACAATACACATACATCTTCTATGACAGCCAGTGGCTTAGTGGTTTGAGCATTGGACTATGGCTCTGGAGACCGGAACCCTGAAACCCACTGGGTGACACACTCTCAACCTCAGAGGGAGGCAAAGGCAAACCCCCTTTGAACAAATCTTGCTAAGCAAACCCCACGATAGTTTCTCCTCAGGGTCCCAATAGGTCAGAACAGAAACTTGAAGGCACGCAACAACAATGTTCTACAATATTTCCAGTTCAACCCACAAGATCCAATGGCTTCTCCCAACTAGGATTCCTCCATGGATTCAACAGTCAAAGGGCAAGTCCCCCCAACACTTACCCAAATCCCATTAACTGAACGGGAGCTACTTTAGTTTGAGACCAGCCGCACTTGCGTGTAAGAGTTACTCAAAATAAGCTAAGGATGTTTATTAAACTGTCGCTTTGCGGCGCAATAATTGAGCGGTAAAGTGTCATACTTCCAATTCCGAAACTCAGCAGTCGTTCTTTATCATCCGGCCGCTGTCTTACGAGAGAGAAGAAGAAGAGCGAAAGAAAGAAAGAAAGAAAGAAAAAGAGACCTGGATTGCATTAAACACCAACGGTCTTCGAGGCCAATTATTCTGTACACACTCATTCAGATGAAGGAGGTACTTTTCCCTTTCTTTCTTTCTTTCTTTCTTTCTTTCTTTCTTTCTTTCTTTCTTTCATTCCTTCTTTCATTCTTTCTTTCAAGAAAGGAGAAACAGTTCTCCCTCCTCACCATTTAATTACCACCAAAACAGTCCAGGAATTTCTCTCTGGTCATGTCAGGGAGATAAAATCTGCATTTTATTAAACGCTATGATCTGTATTTTACTATACAATGTTTGACTCGCGCTGTCGCTTGCTGAAAGCTGTGTTCGCCCATCTGGCTGTATTTCTGATGCTTTCGGGCCAAAATCCTATTAATTAATCCCAATGAGACTAAACCTGTTGAATTAATTCTTGGAGGTGAGCCGACACATAGGAAAATCCCACCGAACCAATAGGTCTACTCTAATTGGGACTAGCAATTGGATTTAGGCTTTATTTCTTTTGGAATAATCATAAATAAACCAGGGTGGCCGTAGAATTAAACCCAAAGTAAGTAAAGAAATTCAGTTAAGCCCTGTGCTGATTTCTTTAGTCTTTTCTCCTCCTCCTGCACAGTGGGGTGAATTCTGCCTTTCTGCTAAAATAAAATAAAATAAATGCATTTATTAGCAAAACGCATACACTTATTGTACAGTCTCCCTGTTATTTTCAAGCAGTGCTCCAAGGCCTGATGTTACACAAGCAACATTTCTTATCATCACAAAGGATATCTTTTACAAAGAATAAAGACTGAACACCTGGCATAGAGGCAGAAGGTTATTTGGCAATAATCGTCGATACTGATGTGGATGGAGCAGAGAAGCTTGAAACTTCCTTTCTTTGCTGAGAGTTTAGTAAAATTTTATTATTATTATTATTATTATTATTATTTTGATCAAGGAGCAAAAAAATCTCCCACTCCTATTAATAGGAGGGCTTTTTCTCTTAATGCTAATTTCTGGTTGTTGTTTTTCCCTGTAATCGTGTTATGGGAAGGCTTAAGCTATATGGGAGATAGAGAGATAGATTAGATAGAATAGATAGATAGATAGATAGATAGATAGATAGATAGATAGATAGATAGATAGATTAGACAGAATAGAATAGAACAGAACAGAAGAAAATAGAATAGAATAGAATAGAATTGATAGATCCTTTATTGACATCAGCTACAAGCCACTGTAATAGAAACATGGTATTCTAATAAAGTTAAAAATTACAATTTTGCAATATTCATCAACCATCTGGGTTAAATGAAGCCCATATAACATACAATGCAAAACATCCTGAAATCAGGACTTGGAAAACCATGTTCCATCCTATTTTAACAGCACCTATTATGAATTTTGCAAACATAGGGGGGTTGCAGACTGCCAGAAATAGTGCAAATTGAGTCCACTTTTAGGGTTAGGGTTAGTGCTAGGGAGTCATGGGAATTGGTTTTTTTCTGAGACATTGAGCCTTCTCTGTCAGAGAGCTCTGGTGCCACAATAAACTACAGTTCCCATGATTCCCTAACCCTAACCCTAACCCTAAAAGTGGACTCAATTCACACTATTTCTGGCAGTCTGCAACCCCCCATAGCTATTATCTTGGTCTGCTCAAAGCAAGCTCTGTTGTCAAGAGAGGTTCCCTCTTCATATCCCTTTAAAAAGGATAAAATAGCAGCACATGGGCTAGCAATTTAATGCTACCACCGTCGCGGAGCAAACCCGAAAATACAAGTCGGTATGTTGTTGCTGTGTGCCTTTAAGTCATTCCTGTGTTACGGTGACCCTATTGTAGGGTTTTCTCAGGTCTGATCTTCAAAACAGAATGAATGCAGTATCCCAGAAGTCCATAGCATTGAGTCATGGCAATTGACACCACTTTAATTGCCATGACTCAATGCTATGGACTTCTGGGATTTGTAGTTTGTTGTAGCACCAGATCTCTCTGAGAGAGAAGTCTATATAGCTCACAAAACGATAAATCCCAGAATCCCATAGCATTGAGGCATAGCAGTTTAAGTGGTGTCAAACTGCATTATTTCCACAATGCAGATTAGACCTTGGTAAGATTTGTTCAGAGGAAGTGAATGGGGATTTGAACCCTAGTCTCTTGGAATCCTAGTCCAACACTCAAACCACTACACCATGCTGCCTGGTGTCAGGAATTAGGAAAAAAAGAAAGGTATAGATCCTTTAGACCAGAAATTAAAGTTATATCCCCTGTTTATCTATCTACTCTGGTTATTTTAAACCCCATGATAATTAATCACATCAATGGCAGGACGTGGAGACTAACCACATCATTAACATGGCACACATTTTGGCGATGATGATGATGATGATGATGATGATGGAGTATTTATACCCCATTCTTCAGTCAAAAGGCTATCAGAGCGGCTTACAAATGGTTAATTAGACATGATGAGAAACCTCTCATACAAAATATGGGCATCCCATGAAACAGAAGCCTTCCCAAAATTACAGATTCCTTTTATGCATCACTTTCAAGCATGGATCCATTGTGGATTTTGTTTTGACAGGTTAGTCCGTCCATCAAAATTGTATTGCAATCAGCAAACAGACATTATACAAATATACTGCCTTGGTGAAATGCATCTGAGGAAGTAGACTGGAGTCTATGAAAGCTCATGCTGCCAATTTCTTTCTTTTAGTCTCAAAGGTGCTACAAGATCTCACAACATACTGATTCTACAGACTTAACACGGCTATATCTTTGAATTGTGCAAATATATTACTAATATCACCTTGGGTCTTTGCATGCAAGTATAAGGCCAAAGCCAAGAATGTAGCAGTTCTAAAATATACACATTTGTTACGATCTTTCCATAAGAGACACAGCTTTTCCAAAGGCAATCATCCTGTCATCCAAGTCAAAAATGCTAATATCAGAATAATTATTGCACACATTGTCAAATAAAATGGGTAATATCTTCCATTATTAAGGAGTTACAGAAAGAGATTGTGATTTCCTTAGCAGTACCTTGGATAAACCTAGTCAAATCTACCAAGAGAAGGACTTGTAACCAATCTCATTTTAGTAGGATTACTAACCGATAATAGATTAAAATAGAAGGGGACAAAATGCACATATAGTTGTTTCGACAAATTAATCATACACTTAAAAATAAAAAATAAAAGACTTTTCTCAAATCAAGTACAGGTTGAGTCTCCTTTATCCAAAATGCCTAGGAAACCAGAATTGTTTTGGAATTTGGAGTTTTTCAAAATTTGGAATATTTGCATCTTATTTATTTATTCATTCATTTAAGGAGATATCTTGGAGATGGGACCCAAGTCTAAACATGAAATTCATTGATCTTTCGTATACACCTTAAACACAGAGCCTGAAGGTCATTTTATACACAATCTTTGACAATAATTTTGTGCATGAAACGAGGTTTGTGTACACTGAACTATCAGAAATCAAAGGTGTCACTATCTCAGCCACCCATGTGGATAATTTCGGATTTTGGAATATTTCAGATTTCGGCACTCCGGATAAGGGAGGCTCAACCTGTATCCTTAAAAACACACTGCCTTCTAATAATAATAATAATAATAATAATAATTTATATCCCACTTATTGAAAAAGACAATCCAATTCTAGCATATATTAGCTGAGATTCATGGTTCTCAGTACACCATTGGTGAGACATACACAAGGAACAGCTTTCGGCACTTATAATTTGTCTGATCTGTCCTATTTTAGGAAACAATATAACATAAAGCTGAATGAACTTCTGACACTTTGTGACAGTGAACTAATATTCATGGTTCTTGCTACACATTGTTAAAATATGTTAAGGGAGAAAAATATTGCTACGGCTGATAGTTAAATGAAACATCTGGTCGCATTCAGATGTATATCTAAGTTTCCCAGTCAGTTTGTCTGAAGCTGCCAAATGAGTCTTGGGATACCAAGACACCAATCCTACAATTTGCCTTTATGGGACACCACCAGAGTTGTGTGCCAAGAATTAGGAAAAAAGAAAGGTATAGATCCTTTAGACCAGAAATGAAAGTTATATTCCCTGTTCATCTATCTACTCTGGTTATTTTAAGTCTGGTTTGCACAATATGTTCGGGGGAAAATACTGTACTCCTGAGCATCAAAGATTGGATGCACACATTTTTGTGCCACATGTAGGTTGAAATTTTCCTATAAAGCAAAAATCATGCTATGATCACAATCCTGTATGATCAACTCTGGCACAGTCTTGCCTCCAAATGGATACTAAACTATCATCCTAGATAGAATATAGTCTTTTCTTTCTTTTCTTCCGTTTACTGAGCTTCGATCTTGTCTTCTCGCTTTCTATCCTTGCCGGCAAACTGAGCTGGTCTCCAGTGAGGTTCGGTCTTGGTTTTTTGAGATATGAAACATTACTCGGTCATCTGTCCTTGGAAGTGGACCCTACTGAATTTGAGGTAGTGTACGCCCATGTCGATGCACATGGGATCATCGCTTTATAAAAAGGTGTCACCTTCCCTATTCCCAGTTTATCAAATCCTATGATGAAACCACTGTTTCATATTAAAAACTCTCTGACTCAAAACACCAGAAATTGGGGAAAGGGAAAGTGCATGCAGCAATCTAGGATGCAAAACAGGACTTGCTTTAAATATAGAGGATATGAACTGTCCAGAATCTGGAATAAAAGAAAAAGGGAAAGTTTAGGAAAGTTTCCTTCCAACTTATAGTGACCCTAAGGCAAACCTATCACCGAACTCCAGCCAAACTGCCTAAGGGAGATATCGGAGACTACACGGCTGCAGCCACACTGCAGAATTAATGCAGTTTGACACCGCTTTAACTAGCATGGCTCCATCCTATAGAATCCTGGGATTTGTAGTTTGCTGTGGCACCAGAGCTCCCTGAGAGAGGCGGCTAAAGATTGCACAAAATGACAAATCCCAGAATTTGATAGCACTGAGCCAAGGCAGTTTAAGCGGTGTCAAATGGCATTGATTCTGCAGTGCAAATACAGCCTGTGAATCCTATTATTAGTTCCAACTAGGGTAGATCTATTAAATCAATTGGATTTATCTGTCTGTTGACTCACCATCCAACAATTCATTCATTGGGTTTACTCTGATAGGGACTAATCTAGCCGGTGCGATTCTGGCCATGATTTTCATAACCTTGTCCTCACTTTACGGATGACAGCCCCAATCCAGCTCATAGTAACATCTGTCTGCCTTATGGCCTGGGACCTTTTTAAACTACACAATTATAGTGCTTCGATTCCATTTTAACTGTGTTCTGCAGGATTCCTGAGGCTTGTTGTTTAGTGAGTCACTATAGCTCTCTGGCTGAGAATTTTAAGTACGGTACTCCCTCCCTAAACTCCAGACAGCCAGCATAGCATACAGTTTGTTTTGGACTAGGACTCTGTAGACCAGGGTTCAATTCCCTGCTCAGCCATGAAACTCACTGGGTGACCTTGGGCAAGTCACACTCTCTCAGCCTCAGGGGAAGGCAATGGCAAAACTCCTCTGAACAAATCTTGCCAGGAAAACCTCATGATAGGTTTGCCTTAGGGTCACCATACGTTGGAAACAACAACAACAACCCTAAACTTCAACTCCTAGGATTCCCTAGATAAAGCGGAATCATGTCACTATAATTGTGCCGTGTGAATGGCTTCCTGGTTGCATTGGAGAGATAAGGCTGGTTTTTGCAGCTGAAAGGTCTCTACCAAGGTGAAAAGTAAAGAAAAGAAAAGACAGATGAGTACAATTGGAGGTGAAGTGAACCAACGTGAAAGAACCCTATATAGCCTTGTTTTGTCTTTGCCTGTTCTTATAGGAATGTTCTCCCTTGAGGCTATAGTCAAGGGATGAAAATGCATTTATGGATCAGTAATATATAATAAAAAGCAACAATCATGTATGTAATAATAAATACCAGTGGATGCATATATGCCTGTAATATTTGCTTCTAATACGGAAGTTACCTGCGTTAAATATGATTCATTTGTTTCAGAAGACGATCCCAACATTTTAGCCTACAAATCGCTTTTCACCAAGGAGCAGACTATTCCTTTACATCTCTACTCCTTTTAATGATACATAATCAATATTAGATAGTGTTGATGTTGTTGTTGTGTGCCTTCAAGTTGTTTCCAACTATGCCAACCCTAAGGTGAATCTATTGTGGGGTTTTCTTGGCAAGATTCATTCAGAGGAGGCTTGTCAGGGCCGTCCCCTGAGGCTGAGAGAGTGTGACTTGCCCAAGGTCACCCAGTGGGTCTCCCAGTGTCCTTGTCCAATGCACAACCATTATACTATGCTGGCCTTTGGGATTATTTAGCTCACCTCCAGGTTATTTGAAGGACTGTACCTTCCCATATTAGCCTGCCCTAGTTTTGAATTCTTCTAGGGAGGCCTTATTCTTTGTCCCACCACCATCACAGAAAGATTTTTTATTATTTTTCTTTTAACTGTTTTAAACCAACTTGGGTTCCAAGCAAGAGGAAAACCTGGAATAATAATCATAGTAGTAGTTGCAATAACAACAATTACTACAACAACAACAAGACCATTTTATAGACAAAAGAATTGAGGGCGAGCCCAAATGGTCCCTAGATCCCTATGGCAGCCCCAAACCCATCCTATAAATCTGGCAAATAGGACAATATATCTGTCACCAGTTTTCTGCAAGAGAAAATAAGAATCTGAACCAATTGGACAGGTAAGGTTAAAACTAGTATCTGTACCAAGTGGGATCAGTGGGGAGAAAGTGTAAAAGTTTTCTAGTCAACACAGAAGTCTTTATCACTCTGAATGGTTGAGAGTCAGCATGGTGTAGTGGTTTGAGCATTGAGCTATGACTTTGGAGATCAGAGTTTTAATCTCTAGTTGGCCATGGAAATCCACTGAGCAAGTCACACTCTCTCAGCCTCAGAGGAAGGCAAAGGCAAACCCCTTCTGAACAAACCTTGCTAAGACAATCCTGTGATAGATTCGCCTTAGGGTCACCATAAGTCAGAGACGACTCAAAGACACGCAACAACAGCCTGAATGTTTGCACAGTCTTCTACTAAAGATAGCCGGTGTGTCCAGGCAAAAGCTGATGCCTTGCCTCTTCTTCCTCCCAAATAGCAGCTTGCACCAGAAGCAAGGGGAAAAC